CCTAGAACATTAGAACTGGGTGGAGGGGGAGGTGGGTATCAAATGAAACAATTTTCGAAGAAAGTTGGATACTAGATATCCAATAAGATTTTTTCCCTTTGTGCGATAATCAACGATTTTTCCCGTAGCGGGACAGATTTTGAGAAAAACCCCCAAACTGACCAAGTCGAGGTCAAAGTTTCAGACCGAGGTCAACGTCGTTAGCGGCGGATCTACGAAAATCATTTGACCCTGAACGCCCAACGATCACCTCAAAAACGCCGCCTATTAACAAATTCCTTTCTCGTCTAACCGCTCCACACTTTTCTACTACAGATACACAAGAACTAATGACCATTTCTTATCGGATTCTGAAAAGGCACTGCGATACATTTTGGACTCAAATGACTGGATGATAAACCACGAGTAGTCTCGCAATAAGAAAGGTTAAGAGATAAACCTAGCCGTTGATCGACCCTTTTTGGGACGCGACACGCATTTTACTTCCATTCAGAATCGTAATGGCTTTGCGATGTGGCTACACAGTGACTTGCGGTGGCCAGAGGACGTACAAGTCAGTGTTACTATCCTCCCAGGCAAATCTGGTACCAATTTACTGTTTCTGGAGGATAGAGGGCTCGGTTGACGGGCGGGAGCCGATCCAGGATCTAATATCCGGACCGTGCGCGTGGTAAGTGTGCCACCTCCGCCTCACCTTACCATTTAACAGCTCGAAACTTCAGAGCTGTTCAGTTGACAGACTAGGGAGCCTCTTTTTTGGTAGATCCGCAGCATATTCTAGGATTCGCCCTCTATGAAACCTTGGCATGTCAATACATTTTATATCCCGAGGATAGGGAAGGATAGGGAGGGCGTGGCCGAATGCTGGTTTGAACGTGGCGCTGACTGCGTTTTTGGTGGGATACTACGGTTCTGGAACATTTGCAATCATGTTTTTGTTCAACACATGACGGAATGACAGTTTCCTCGTCCCACGGCAAACGTATTTCATGCCATGCTTCGAAGTGAAGTACGCAGCCACGCCCTGCTTATCTCCAGCTTATGGAGCATATGTGCTGCAAAGCCGTAGAAGGCATTTGAAATGTATAACCCAGCGAGGATCCTCTTGGAATACTAGGCGACATTTGCAGAAGAACTTGTGATATCGAAGAATTATTCCAATTTTCGCAACAGTTCGCTTTGTGGGAGCGGTTCCCCAGTTTCCCTTCCAGCTTCCTCACTTGGTGAGACCTGAGAACTCTTGTAAAGATGCCCAACCTTTGCCAAGTAGCTTCGATAGGGCCTGGAGAACTCTTGTAAAGTTACAGAAGGGTATGAGCTTTGTTGTGGGTACATCAGGCTAGGCGCTAGATCAACTTCATAAGAGTGGTCTTCACGTCGCCGGGAAAGTGCCCACCGCGCGGTGAACTAGGTCCCACTTGTTCAGCATCCGCACTGCTACAATATCTCCCGGAGAGCCACTCAACAGAACGTCCATAGTCAGCGCTGTTCGGCATGCGAAAGGCACTTTGCACCTTTGCAGTTCCTTTCGCTAGTTCCCGTAAGATTACATGTCACACCTTGGTAAGACCTGTCGACTCTTGTCAAAGTTATTGAAATTCCTGTCACTGCTCAGCCCATGAGGAATTTACAGAGTCTTTACAGGAGGCATCCGGAGTGATCGATGAGAACCACCAGGCTGCCCCTACCAAGTCCGAATGGAGGTCTAATACATAAGGCGCTTTACGGAATTTGGTATTCCGATTGCTGATGTTCATGGGCCACATTTACAAGTAATCCGCTCCTTACTGGCCAGCCCTTTCTAGCCAATTGGTGCTGGATCTTGAATTTTCAGGTTTCTATTCGTTGTACAATTAGCTCAAGGCCATGTAGACATTTGAGTTTTTGATCTGTTGCTAATTTAGACAACTCAGACGACGGCAACACAACAAGGGCCCATATAATATTACTACATTGATCAGGTGTGACATCCCATCCAATTATGTATCAAAATAGTACGGTGGAATGTGGTCTCGTGACAAAATTTTACGCATCCACACCACAGCCATAAACGTCTCGATAATAGTTTTTATTTTTAGATTTCTCTCACCTGCTGACAGCGATCCAAGCAAGCAAATAGATAAATTTAACTAGGCGATTATGTAATATATTTTTTCTCATGAACATACGAAATGGTCTTAAGAGCTTGGCCTTGAATGGTAAACCAAGCGGAGGTACCGTTTTCATCAGCGAGAAAAGGGCGAAGTACCTGATAAAAACTTATGCTAAACATTCCACACATGAACCACTTCCACCTATCCTGTTGGACAGGACGAAAAAAAATCAGAGCAGCGCCGATCCCCTCGTTTACCCCACCAGTGGTGACGGGTACATTTATTAAATCTTGAATCGCGCTACAGCGCGAAAAGCAATCAACCAAAATTACTAGCCACCTGACTCAGCACAACACTTTGGTGTCAAATCATTTAGGTTCTGGCACCCTATACCCTACCCACTTTCGACAACTGATATATTGCCGTTTTAAGATTTCATGAGAACTGAAAATGATTACCACCCAAAAATAAAAAAAGGAAGCTGAAACATTAAACAACGCACGAGACAGCGTCTCCCAAAATAGAGATAGTCTAGATCTACGCTGATAATATTTGAACTCGGCTAGAGAGGTAGGGGGGGGGGAAGAAAATCAAAGTTTAGCCTGGCCTCGTTTTCACACGTGGCCTTAGACCAAACGAGAGACCATTGTCTCTCTGCGCACATCGAAACCCAAAAGGGAAGAAGGCATTTCACTGATTGTTGGGTTCCATCTGGGGCAGGTTCCAATCAGGGGTTTCCTCCACAACGGTGAACCTTTTTTTTAGCTTCTCCAAATCTAACCAGTGACACGCCAGCAGGCCTGTATGTCAAGCTGGAAAGGCAGTAGGCAACAAAGTTCTGGTAATTCTACACGAAACGAGAGCACATAAGTACGGCACATCAAGCGCTCTGGCGATGGAATGAGAAACGGCAGCACTCTTCTAATTAAAGTGGAAAAGCATCGCCTGATTAAGGATGCTTTTCCTTCAGAAGCTGTTCCAAAGGTTTTGACTTGTGGTGGAAAGGTTGTTCTACGTGCCAATGATTCATCCAGCCTCAACAAAGCAGTACCAAAGGCAGTCCATGACGCAAGCTGAAGTCATCGCAAGATGCTCCATCAACAAAATGGTGCTAGAAATGGCACACGAGGCTGATTCATCTTTATTCAGTCATACCCTAACCGTCCATTGTGCGTGATCGTCCGGTCGAATGATAGGCTTTCTTAGGCGATCACTCGCTCGGTGAACACCAGACGGCATGACGTCCTCTTCATCTATGATGCCATATCGAGCATTTCTCAAATGCCATCATATGATCACCGATGGCACTATAACTATTCGGACCTAGGTTTTCCAGACCCATGAAAACCAAGGATATTAATTTCGAGCCAGAAAAAGCGCCCTCGCGTCAAGGCTAAAAATAGCACACAGAACCTGCCTGAGACGGTGCTATGGAAGGCAATTAATTACAAGGACATTCGCGAGAACTTGCACGTAGAAACTTTAGGGATGCCGCTGGGTTCATTCTAAGGCTTCTGCATGGAGCAGTTCGGCGACGGAGGGGGGGGGGGGGGACATTTCGCACTTTTCCTTTTCCGATCTACGTGTCGAGCCATCTCGAGAGCTCTTTCATGAGCTTTTGAGAGCTGAGAGGTTTTATTACGGTAGGCTCGACAAGCTTGCTCCAGCTTCACAAGAGCCGACGATTTCAGAAGAGTGAGTCTTTCGAAGCGGAACTACTGAAGCAGCAAAATGAAGAATGCCCCCCGTCGCCGAACAACAGCCCCCTCCCGAACATTTCCGATAGATCTGAACCAAACTTTACCGCTGATAGATCTCAACTGAATGCTACCGCCCAAGAGAGAGAAGGAATAGTTTTTACTAGTTGGGAGTGAAATATTAGCATTTCATCTCAACACGCACCTTCTCACTGAAACCTATCAAGGAAAACATTTATAGCGGAACCTTGTCAAACCTGAAATTGTTAGAATTACAGAACCGGGAGTACGGTATTGTGCAGGTGAAATATGGGGTCTCCTGAAACCACGAAATTCCTAAAAAAGGGGCGAATCGCTTACCGTGCAAAAGGGATTCTTTCATGAATGCCATAGTCGTTTCGAATGTCATCTTCTGAAGTGGCGACGACGAGGCCGACATGGCTCCACGATTGAATGGAGCTATTTGACCCGTAAATGTCATGTAGTCAGCTGTTAATGACAGATGTCGCTTGGAGACTTCGATACCGTACACGGCGAACACGCTGTTCATCTCCTGCAAAAGCAAAACAATCAAACTTGGAAAGCACGAGGCAATCGATTTGCCGTTCTTAAACCTTTCCATCCTTCTTTTTTCCTCTTCCCCTTCCGAATGCTATGTTCATATTCCACTGTCCTTAATCAGGATAATCCTCCACCGGTCATTCTGTTCACTTTTTTCAAACATTTCGAGCTTCCCAATATTGCTTGTCATTCATTCCCCACCATGTTATTTGTTTTGAAAAACAATTTACTAGTAAATCGAATTCCAATGACAACGTCTGTTT